AAGTCAGTACTGTATTTCTTATCCCCAACAATAATACAACATTTATTGCCACATCTTTGAAGACCTCAAAATTTGTTAACACTTAAGTTAACAGTGAGAATTAGAAACACAAGCAGACTTCTCTGAGAACACAAATAGCGGACGATGCTGGTGCAGCGGGAGGGCCCAGAGAGGCCTGGAATGGGAGGCCATGGGAGGCATCTGGGACAGGGGTCGGGGCCGTGGAGCTCACAGAGGCAAGACTGAGGACAAGGAGTGGATCCCTGTCACCAAGCCGGGCTGCTTGGTCAAGGACATGAAGATGAAGTCCCTGGAGATCTATCTCTTCTCCCTACCCATCAGGGAGTCTGAGATCATTGACTTGTGTCTGGGAGAATCCCTCAAGGATGAAGTTTTGAAGATTAGGCCAGTGCAAAAGCAGACCACTGCTGGCTACTGGACCAGGTTCAAGGCATTTTTCTTCATTGGGGACTACAACGGCCACATCAGTCTGGGTTTTAAGTGCTCCAAGGAGGTAGCCACTGCCATCCGAGGGGCCATCATCCTGGCCAAGCTCTCCATTGTCCAGATGTGGAGAGGCTACTGGGGGAACGAGATTGGCAAGGTCACGCTGTCCCTTGAAAGGTGACAGGCTGTTGCAGCTCTGTGCCAGTGTACCTCATTCCTGCCTCCAGAGGTACTGGCAACTTCTCGGCCACTGTGCCCAAGAAGCTGCTGCTAATGGCTGGTATTGACGACCGGTACACCTCAGCCAAGGGCTGCACTGCTCCCCTGGGCAACTTTGCCAACCCACATTTGATGCCATTTCCAAGACCTATTGCTATCTGACCCCCAACCTCTGGAAGGAGACCATGTTCACCAAGTCTCCCTATCAGGAATTCACTGACCATCTTGCAAAGACCCACCCGAGTCTCCACGCAGAGGACCCAGGCTACAGCTATGGCTACAACATAGTTTTTATAGAAAGAAAATAAAGTTAATTAAGTAAGCCTGGAAAAAAAAAAAAAGAAAAGAAAAGAAAACACAAGCAGGTTAAATGACTTGGCAAAAGTCACTCAACAATCTATTTCAATCTGCTTACTG